TGAATTACACTATGGTTAGATTCAAATCGAAAGATATCTAATCCTTATGCATGAGTATCGTATAATTCGAATATGGAACATTGTTGTTTTTGAACAAGTTGGAGATTGTGATGGTTGTTCAAAACCATGCGACCGTCGCATGGTTAGTTAGAACCGAGGCCAAAAACTTGGTTCAAAGCTTCATGCTACCTTGAATTTCGACTTCTTTGTTTGAATTACACTATGGTTAGATTCAAATCGAAAGATATCTAATCCTTATGCATGAGTATCGTATAATTCGAAGATGGAACATTGTTGTTTTTGAATTAGTTGAGGATTGTGATGGTTGTTCAAAACCATGCGACCGTCGCATGGCTACCAACCGAGGCCAAATGGCCTCGATTCTAACTAACCATGCGACTGCATGGATTTACACCATGCGGTCACATGGTACAAGTTTAGTGACCGTTGGAGTCGATTTGGGTGGTTTTTTTTGCAGCTTTTCACTTAATTTTGGCACCACTTCGTGAAGCTATGTTGCATGGCTATAAATAGGTGGTTTTTGATCATCAAAATAGTATGAAAAAATACTTATAAATTACATGTTTATAAGATCAAACAAGAGAGAAGAAAGAAAAAAAAAACCATCTTCTTTCATATTCCTTTTCCATTGTGTTCTTGAATTCTTAGAGAATCAAACAAGTGCTTAGTGTTTGAATCTCTACAAGGCTTGATCAATACTTCAAACCTTTTTCCGGATGACCCTTTAAGCACCATAATCTTTTGTAGTGGGGGCAAAATTCGTTTGAGGACAACGATTTCATATCGTGTTTGAGCTTTCCTACATTTGTTATATATTCTTCATCTTCTAATTTTCTTTCAATCTACATTTGTAATTCGTTTTCTAACCCCTTGGTAGAGAAACTATTTCTAACATTTGCTAGATGGTCTGAAGTGGGCTATAGCTTTGATTTTGAATTCATGCTGGATCAAAGATAATGCTTTCTGCCAATGCCATTTTTTCTGATATTTTTCAGCGAAATCAATGGGCTTTTGTAGGACTTTAATGCTAAAGATCTCTTATAAATGGTAGATTATTTAGTGGGTCGAAAACCATAATTTAGAAGGTAAATTAAGTGGTTATCCTTCTTAAGTTTAATTATTGGACCCAAACATGAATATCGTGACAAAAGTTGTACACTGCTTAATCGTCGCTAGCATTTAATTTGGCGTAAAATTTTTAAAGGCTAGGTCGAATCAGAAACTTTGTCTTCGTATGCATTTTGCGGTAAGAGTTTCTTTCAAAACGGAACTTCTGACTTTTATACATCACCAACTTGGCATTTATCGCACCGCTACCAAAAATATTACCTCATGCACGTCACTAGTTTGTAACGTTGTTCCTATAAAAGTATTCAAGTCCGGGTGGTTATGTCTCTTTGCTTGCTTTAAGAGAGTAGTGCTAGAGTAGTGAATTTTCATTGCTCTTTTGTACTTCAGAACCCTTTTCAAAGAGCTGCAGAGATGAACATTGCCGGCCCTTCATGGATGAACACTACCTCAATGTATGAAGAAGAAATGCATGATGAGCCTGGAATTCCAACAATCATCACATGGACTCATGGTGGCAGGGAAGTTTATGTGGTGGGATCATGGGATAATTGGAGAAAAAGGCAAGAGTTATTGTTCTATCTTAACCATTCAATTTTTTGCTTCTGATATTAGCCTCACATATTATGAGGAAAACTTTCAGCTATGGTGGTTGGATCACGCTCTACATCGGCCTAACATTAGTTGCTATAGATATCCCAGTTGATCAAGAAATGAACATTATAGAAGGGTGAAGAAGGATTTACGTAGTCGAACTCGATTTAATGGGAGATTTTATATGCTGTAATCTTTTTCCTCAGGAAGCGCATGAGGAGTTGTGATTGTATTATACCCTAGGTCCAATCGACTTTGGACATAAATACTTTTATATATAATTAATGCAATTAAATGGCAGATCTATTATTTAATTAATAGACAATTAAATAAATAATAGAGTCCGTAGATTCAAATATTTGTAATTTATTAATCACAAGGAGTTGTGATTGTGAGATACAAATTACATCTGATTGAATCTTAAATCATCCGTGGTCGTAAGTAATAACGAGATACGGATATCGTTATTACGGATAGACCATCACGTGTGGCATTTCTTACTTGTGAAGTAAGTGGCTGATCTCACAAGTTAAAGTGTGGTGACACTTAAATGAACACGTGGATGTTTGTTATAGAACAAAACATTGGAGACCCGTCGAGAGATTCCACATGGATAACTATCTGAGTGTCGGTGGTTAATCTCTAACGTTCGGTAGTGAAATTGGTCCTTTGACTTGAGGTCGTCATGGTACCTTATATGAGGACAGTCATACTTTGGCGGTGTTGGATGTTGCTCTGAAAAGGGCCGCTAATACGACATCGTTCGGGTACGTCAAGAATCGTATGAAGGTTGTGATTGATCAATAAAGGATTCGTCACTCTTAGATAGTAGGAGATTATGATCTGCATTTCATTCAATTAAGTCAATGATGAAATCCTTGGCCAAGGTGTACTCATAAGTCGAAAAGGAGTTTTCGATTTATATTGACTTAATAGTAGAGTGAAAGATATGATCGATGATCGAGATTGACACAATTCCATATCTCGTAATTGATCGGATCATATTGACGAAGGGATTATAGTTTCACGGTAAACGAACGAATTTGGTTTTGTCATACCACGTGACATTTCCCGTCACATGTATTGCCCTGACACATTGCTAGATGTCAATCAGGGACGGCGAATGTGAATTGACGATAAATTAAAAGAGTGTTTTAATTTATCAATTTTGATTAGATCAAAATAATATTTCACGTCGTTAGGCATCGTGGTCGGGAACCTAATGGGTCACACACAAAAGAGAATTGGAAGATTGCAAATTGCCAATTGATTAATTTAACAATCGTTGGATAAATTAATTAATTGGATTTGTTATTTATATTTTCGAATTAATTAATTGGATTAATTAATTCACGGACCGGGTTTAATTAATTGGATTAATTAATTATTGGGCCGGACCGGGCCGAGCCTATTTGGGTTTATATAAATACATAACTAGGGTTTGAGGTCCATTAAGGTTTTCATTATTCTTGCTAGCACAAGAGAAAACCCTAGAGGCTGCAATCAAATTCTCTGTGTGGATCACCGTTGGAGGCTGGACAATTGGACAGCTGTGGTGGCGAATCAAAGTTGTGGAACGAAAAGAAAAGCTAAAGGATTGCAGATCTGGAAAAGGTACAATCCTATCACAATTCCTAACCAAACACAATGAGATCTATTGGATGAGAATCGAAATATATTTTAAATTCCGCTGTGCATGTATAAGTAGATTCCCAACAGCGCATGAGGCGAACAAGGGAGGAGTTCGTTGTTATGAGAAAAATTCCTGCAGGAGTTTATCAATACAGGTTCATTGTTGATAGACAGTGGAGGTATGCCCCTGACATCCCGTGGGAGCTGGATGGATCAGGCAATGCTTGCAACATTTTAGATGTGAAGGTACATATGATCTTCTCCTCTGAATTTTGTCCTCATCAGTATTGCTTATCTATGCACGAACTCGTCCATTTCTTTCTTTAATCTCCAGTAGCTTCGTTTACTTATTCTTTTCCATACAAGTTCGAAAGTAATAAGAAGTAGTAACCTTTATTTTTTATGGTCAAATTCATTGCCATCTATCTCTTCTTGGACAATTGCTCTCTGTATCCCTTGAATTTTTTTATCTTCTCTACTTCGACCTTCAGTCTGTATACAAATAATTTAACAAGTTGATTGAAGCATGAACTTCTTGCCTTTGATTGTGGTTCAATCCCAAAAACATTTTCTTTTTAACCGTATGGTAATGATTTTCATTTGCATTTTGGTGCAAGAATATGAAGGCAACCATTGCCACGTGTCTCTTTACTGGTAACTGAGCTAGAAGTCGAAGATACGAGACATTTCTAGAAATAAGGAGAATTTTACTCGAAAAAAGGCGAATTTGCCTACTTGTGCTAACATTCAAATTAAATGCTGTTGATTATTTTATCTTTGCCAATTGGGGAAAACCGCAGTTCCTAGTCAATTTAGCAACCATCCACGTGTTACTAAACCATTTACTTTTTTCACAATTTTTCATCAAGAGATTCTGATATTAACCAACTCAATATCTGCTTATTCGTTCTGTATTTCTTCTTGTTTTGGTCCTCGCACTGTTCTTGAATCTTATCAGAATTGGTAGATCAAACCCCCTTATGCATTTTCCCACATATCCCTGCTATATCTGTAATCCACTGAGTTACATTTTCTTCAAATTCTCCATGCATACGAATAATTAAGCTTGTTGGAGTTTCACTGATTTTTGCTGCAGGATTATGTCCCAGACGTCACCAAGAGCATTGCCAGTTTTGAATCGCCTGAATCCCCAGATTCCAGCTACAACAACTCGTACCCCGGCCCTGAGCACTATGAGAAGGATCCTCCAATGGTTCCTCCACATCTGGAGTATACTTTGCTCAACGCTCCATCGCCTCACATGGAGATTCCACCTCCTCTTTCAAAACCTCAACCCGGGGTGCTGGACCATCTATACATGCAGAACAATGCGAGCAACCCATCTGTCGTTGCACTCGGTTCGACTACTCGGTTCCATTCCAAATATGTGACAGTTGTTCTTTACAAATCAACACAGACACGGGGGTGAAAAGTGGAAGTGGACTCGTGTATCATCTTTTTTAGTGTAATTGGTATCGTAAAGGCATAAACAGTGTGTATGAGGCTAATTCCTTGTTTGGACATTGGAGAAAGGCCATATGTATACTTTTAAACCTGGCCTCTTAGCCCTTAGTTTTTGTGTTTTGTTTTTCCTGTCTCTCTCTCTCTCCACAGCTACCTCTAATCAAGATTTTCGCCCGCTGGTTGAGAAAGAACTCCTTACTTTTTATTTTCTTGATCTCTGGTCAAGGTTTAATTTTGACTTTCTTGACCTATATAGGAAAAAATAAAAGTATTTAATCGACCACTGGCAGATTCTCAAATGTGGTTGCAAGTATCCTGACTAGAGGTTTGAGAATCTTGAACTGGGATATGCAAGAAAGAGATTGGAAAACTATATGTGTATGGCTTCCTTTAAAGGCTTTTCATATTTTTATTTTATGGTATTGCTCGTAATTTTGTACAGTTCTCAGAAAATAAATTAGGAATTTTCTTAGATAACGAGATATATTTGAATATTTATTTGTTGAAAACTTTCTTCTTGAATATGGATTAGGAATTGAATTTCTTATTCCAGCACAATTTTTAATGTTATAAGTTGGTCGAATTTGGATGGTAGTACTAAACATTGGATGAATCTGACCAAATCTCACCAAATTTAAGCAATTTCACTGGACAATCTCATATTCACAATTTGAAAAGAAAGAAGAAAATGAGTAACTATTTGTCTACATGTGATACGCGAGTTTTTCTTTTATCCCGGCTAGAATTGTCTAGTGTGTTATACTAAACATGTCTAGCTCTCTTACATCATCGAGTAAGAAAGTCATGGAAAATGACTTGTAGATAATATTTTCTATTTTTTCTTGTAATATATATATACTGGTTCAATCCCATGTTGAACCTTGACTTTTAAACTTTTTTATTTTCGGGTCAATATAAAACTTTGATATTATGTGCTTTTAAGAAATTTGAAGGAATTAAAGTTTTTTTTCTTTTCTTTTCAATTCATTCAAAATAATCATATTAGGGTATGCGAGGCGGAATCTGATAGAATTTTACCTACACTAATGCAAGGGATTAAGTACATTGTAATGGACCGGAAAGATGGTAATTAAAGGTATGGGCAGGCCCATTATTAAGAGGGAAATTTAGGTATATAGCACTAAAACGGAAGAAATCTATGCATTTTCTAGCAAAAATTTTTGGTAGACTAGATTCTATTAATGAAAAAGGCCAAACATACCACAACGCAATAACAAAACTTTTACATGTGCTTGTAAAGTTGAATGTCATTATTAAATATTGGGACGAGACTCTTCTTTTTGAATTACACGAATCAAAATGAAATGAAATTAGATGGAAATGATTAATTCGATTCGATTTTCATTAATATTTAATTGATTTTATTTTTAAATTAGAGAAAGAAGCCGATTCTCTTACATATTTTTGCATTTTTATTCCAATATGGTATAATTCATGCTTTTATGTGTTCTCCAATTTGGAGTTGTTAACACACAAAAAGTTTAGCCCAAATTGAATAGCTCAAGGAATGAAACCCAATTAGAAGATCCACAAAATTAAATAGCCCAAAGAACGACCCAATCAGGCAATGCAGGATAAAGGCCCAAATAAGGAAGCCCATGAATGCGGAAATACCGTCGCCCAAGGTTGCAAGTCACCCAAAATTTGAGCGAATGAATTACCATACAGTCGCCCAGAGCTGTGACTCTGCTCTCGTCTAAACATTCGAGTCGCCCAGCATCTTAACAAACATAAGAAGTTATGGTTACCCAAAAGTGCAGTTAATGAAGCAGTTATTAGGTAGTCCTATCACGTTCCACGATTCAAGGAATTCAATTGAAGACGGTTGAACGACAAAAGTAATGGCAGCGGTTAGAGAAGGCAGTTCCATGACAAGTTGGCCACTACAAGGAAAGTGGGCGGTTATAGAGCGATCAAACAGTTTTTAAGCAGTTGATCACGAAGAAATCATCTTGAGAGTATAAAAGGAAGAAAAGACATAGAGCAAATGACCCCGAATCAAACACTTTCAAACAGAGAATATGTAACTTTCAATTTCTTAGTTTAGATTTAAACATTTTTTTTTCAGTAACTCGTGTGCTTGCGCCCCTTGGAGGCATTCTGTTTTTATTTTCCAATTGTAAAGTCATTGCCAATAAAAACACTCATTTTTGGGATTTTGTCTCAAGAGATTTATCCCTTACACAATCGTCTGATCCATTTTTAATTGTTAGCGACTAAATCGTGCTAAACAATTTGGCATGCCCAGTGGAACAGTGGTGTTTGGTGTTGAAGATACAAAAGGTGAAACAATATGCCTCAGAGATCCGATAAGGAAGCAGCAAGTCAGGGAGGAGTCCAGTCTGTGATTGAGCGATATGAGGAGCAGCATAGCTCTCCACGAACAGATGGACAGAATCAGAGCAGTAACAGTCGTTACGAATTAATAGCGGAGTTGAGTCCTCGAACTATGCGTGCACTACTTGGAGAACTCACACAAGATGTCGTTGAACAGGTAAATCTTCGAAATATTCATAATATGGAAAGATTTACCCAGAATGGGAATGCATATTATGACAACATGTCCAAACAACTGAACACTTTGAATGAAATAATGAATAAGTTAGTAGGCCAAATTTATCAACCAGTTATGCCTCTTGCAAACCATTTTCAAACTAGGACAATTGTGGGACATAATCCCCCAATCCTAAATCCAAGTCAAGGGCTAGAACCACATTTCGGTCCCTCTACTTCAAACCATGGGGATGGTGTAATGCCAAATCAGAATAATGGTAGTGGTACGCCTAACTTGGGGGGTAATCCAAATGTAAGAGATAGTGCCCTAAATAACAGGCAGAATACCCCACGTGTCAATGAGGGAATAAATGTTCAGGTTAATGGTAACAATGGCCCAAATCATGGTAACTTTATTCCTAATCAAGGACCAAATATCAGGCCTCAAGCAAATCAATCGGTCAACCAACCTGTAGGGATTCCATATGACCCCAACGTCATGTTGAGGAATCAGATTATGGAAATCGTATAGGACCAAATGGCTTTTGGGGTACGTCCTGTCATTAGGCCGACTTACACAAAGCCATATCCTGATTGGATAGACCAAGCATATCCATGGCCTAGAAGGTATAAAGTGCCAGAATTCTCACTGTTTACCGGTTTAGGGGAGGTGTCTACTCTAGAACACATAGGACGATTCATACTGCAAAGTGGTGACGTAATTGATTATCATAAAATGAGGTTTTTCCCTAGTTCATTAACAGGAGTAGCTTTCTCCTGGTTCATCAATTTGCCAGCGAATTCTGTTCAAACATGACAACAATTGGAACAATTATTCCACGCTCAGTTTTATAAGACTGAGTCTGAAGTTACTTTGGCCGATTTGGTGAACCTACGTCAAATGCCAAACGAATGGGCAGAAGGTTTCCTCCAAAAGTTCAAGACAGCAAGAAGTAAATGTTTTGTACCTCTGCCCGAAAAAGAGTTTGTCAAAATCGCTCAAGGTTGTTTGAGCTTTGATTTAAAAAAGAAATTCCAAGATAAGGAATTTCCTGACCCTTTCCAATTGAGCGCAAACGTGATTAGGTATGAACGATTGATAAGAGAAAAAGAGCAGATAAAAAATTCTAGCAAGGGGACTTATTATAGAGACCCAAATTTTGATATTCATACCATCAATACTGAGTCATACGATCAGACTGAAATGTGTTTGGCCGAATTAGTCAAAGGAGACACGTATACTTGTCCTATAATGGCTAAGTCTAGACCATCGGGTAAGGATGAGCCTATGAAAGATGAAAACGTAAAAGCTAGGACGTTCATGTTCGATGTAACCAAAGTTGACCCTATATTTGATAAATTATATAAGGATAAGCAGATAAAATTGAGCGATAAGCATAAATTGCCAAACCCTGAACAAATAAAGGGTAAAAAATATTGCAAGTGGCATAATGCATGGTCACATTTGACTAACAATTGCTTGGTTTTTTCGCCATATGTTAGAGGATGCCATTGAATTAGGACGAATTACGTTCGATGATAAGAAGAAAATGGCAGTGGATGAAAATCCTTTTCCACAACCACTTGGAGTGAATACGGTGACGTCTGGTTTCAAAAACAAGTTGCCAAAATTCAAATTGGTTATAGATGATGGAGAAGAAGACCCTAGACCACATCCCAGTGTCTTTAAGCGTATTAAAGGGAAGGAGCCAAAGAAGGATGAAGACGTTTTGTGTGCAAGATGTAAAAGAGAAGTAAGTGGGAATACGGAGAAATCAAGGATATGGCAGCATCCCCGTCGCCCTACTCTCCTCCCAAACGCTCAGCCTGGTAAAGGGCGAAGTACATCGTTCTACAAGGGACCGTCGTTTGAGAGGCAGTTCAGGCCAGTAGATAATGGGAGAACATTCAGGCCGCAATCTCGCCGACTAAATGTATGGCATTCGTTCCAGTATAATGCAGGAAGGGCAATACCCTTCGACGAGATGACTAGAACCCAACAAAGGTGTTTCCAACGAAATTATGGATGAATGATGAGGCAACAATGGGGAGTGCCACGTCCTAAGGTGCTTAAACTACTCAAGGTAGCCAATCAAAATGTTCTCAAAGATAGTAAAGAGACCGGTACAGATGAATCAATGAAAGAATTGCCAAAAACTTCTTCTTGGAGATCGAAGTTTAAGCGAGACAAAAAGGATGGAGAAGATCCAGATCAGCCCCTTACTATTCAGTTCGGTACGTTACCTCCTGTTGTGGCTACTAACTATTTACTAGCCAATGAGTTCAAGAATAAAAAGAAAGAAGAAGAAGAAAGAGAGGATAACGAAGGAGAAGCATGCGTGCTGGAATATGAAGAAGGTCAGACTTCTAGAGAGGCCTACAATGGTGAGGAAGATGACGGTATGACAGACATTGAAGAGGAAATTGATCTGGAAGCAGAAACGAGAAGAAGAGGAGTATCACATAATACTCTGTTGAAGCAACTACATCGAGAGGGAGTTCGTGAAGTAGACTTATTGGGAGAACCATCTGGGAGTTCTTTCGATTTTTACGTGCTGTACGGGACGCCCAAAAGGAAGAAGAGAGTGCCTCGTTCTGAAAAGTATGGATCGCCTCCAAGAATAATGCCTCCTCCTACAGGTTGGGTAACTGAAGAGGAAGCATCAGAAAATAATAA